GGTATCAAACAATTCAGAAGCAGCAGGCTGCTCAGCCTCCGGCAGCGCCGGCGGAGGCAGAAGATGACGACGACTACGAACCCGAGTATCAGCCCATGGACATTCCCGAACCAGCAGCCGAGCAAGCGGAAGCCGTATCCGCTGAAGTGGCCGACCTCCAACCCGACCTAGTATCTCTAGGCCCTTTCGTCCTACCCCAGCCACCGCCTCTGACGGAAGACGAGGCTGCAGACATTGGTCGAAGTGCTGTTGGGAGAGTGTTTGGCATGTTGACGTCCACCGGAGTTGCCCCTAACCCAGCCAAAGGGAAGAGTCAGCAACAGCTAGGCTTTGCTCGCCTGGCTGGAAGCACATTCGACCGTGACGCTTGGGTGACCCTGCTCACTAGACTTGCCACTCGGGCCCCAGCTGGTCTGGAACCGGGAAGCGGAAAAGCCGAGAAGGGAAAGGCCCCAATATCGGACTCGATCCGAGAAACCCTCTACCGATATATCCTAGAGGACTTTCGCGGTCGCGTAAACATTGGCATCATGTGGCTTAACGAGGAATGGTACAACGATCGGATGCAAATGGAGTTTACTGCGCAGCATCGGCGCGAAGAGGATGAGGAGGTAACAGTCCCGTTACACTACGACCACTGGGTCCTGCGACTTCTGGACGGATTCCTCCCGTACCTGGACTCTCGGGACACGAAGATCTTCATCCGCTTCCTCAGTGAGATACCCGAGGTGACGATCCCAATCACAAAGCGAGTGGCCAGTCTAGCAAAGGATCCAGAACGCGTGAACCTATGCATTCAATCTCTCCTGTACGTTCCATGCCCACCCAAAAGGCGAGAGGAAACCTCATGTATCAAGAAGCTAACAACATTCCAAGGTACCTGATAATGTTCCGACCCCCCGCACGGGAGATGTGTCTCAACGCCCTTGAGGACGTCTACGATACCTGTATGTTGCAATCTTCCCCCGCACAGACTACCCCAGCGCTAACCATTCTACCCCACACTTTAGACGAAGAATCCCGTCCCTTGGCCGGTAAATTACTCGCCAAATGGCGTCCCAAGAAGACCGAAGAGCAGCAACAGCAACAACAAGAAGGGCAACAAACACCATCCCAGACTCCTCAATCTCAGTCTCAGCAGCAGCAAACCATCCTCGCATCCCGCCCTATCGCATCATCAGAGTCCAACACCCCCCTCACCAACGGCACGGATGATTCCAACCCCACTCCCCCGCCACCACAACAACAACCACAACCAGATGCCACCCCAACCACCACCTGAGCAAGAAGAGGAAGCGTCCGTAACCAATACCAACACACCCCCTCGCATTTAAAGAAACACCTACCCTGTTATGTATCAGACTCAATCAGAGAAAGAGAATACATGCATACATACATACATACAAGTCAATCTATCAATACCTACCTCCATTACGGATGATTCCCCCCTCCTCCTTTCTGATTGCGTCACTCGCATAGACTAAATAGCCAATCAATTTATTGTCTGGGAAATCATAACTGAGTCTTCCCCCGTGGTGGTAGTACTACTATAAGTACTACAGTAGTGAGTTATCTTATCTAGATGTGGGGGATGGTGTCCATATATTCGAGTTAGTGGGGCTTATCTATCTATCAATCTTTTAATTTGAGTTTCAATCTATACCAAGGGAGAGTATTAATCAATACATGGCTTTTGTAGCTTTGGAATTAATTCCGCGCGGAGATGTTTCTCCGGTACGCGTGGCTTGTGGCTTGGTAAGGACACTTACTGTCTTCACTCGGTACCTTCTGAGAGGTACCTACGGATACAACTACTAGGAACAAGAGTACTAACATCCCGTGTATGGTGAATGGCAGGAGAACAGGATCAATTAAAGGATTGAAGAGTTGCACTGATCAGTGAAGAGAGTTTCTATTCTAATAAACCTCCTATGCACGGCTTTCCGTGGTAATAAACAGAAAAAGAATACACATATCCCAACAACGCCAAGAGAGCAAAAAGGACAAGACATAACACCGTGGGCATATGTAGTATGTATCGTGAATAGCAAGAATAATAAGAAGGAGAAGAAGAGATAGAAAGAAGAGAAGACGGTGATTGTCTGGAAAAAAGATCAAGAAGAAACCCCCAGCAAAAAGTATTAGCTATCAGCCGATGCATCCGTTCGCCCATATTCACACATTGCCCCAAAGCAGTTCCTCATCAAAAAACAGTGAGATAAGAGGAACCGGCAGAAATTGCAGAATAGATAGATCACTTGAATTCGTCCCTGTTGGTGCCAGTCATACATGCCAAATCCGTACATACATTAAAAACACTCTACAACACCTGAAAGCGAAGCCCTGTACATTGAGCTATGGAGAATGCCCACACCTCAGAAGAAATGATGGTAGATGGTGAGTTTGCTGTCGCGTGATGGATTTTTATTATCGCGCCGCCATCTGATTCGACCCAGGGCCAAGGATTCCCGTTGGCTGATGAATGGAGTTGACCGGTCGAGATGAGAGTGGCGGCGAGGAATCACGTTTTACGGTAGCCGACTGAAATAGACCGAGTCGGGCCGAAGGTGGTGAATAGGCGGCGTTTTGAGAGGTCCCTTGGGGAGAGCGGTGACCGAGTGTTGTATTATATGAGGCGGGATGTGGTTTGCGTACATCGAGGGGAGAGGAACTTAATGATCGGAACCCAGATCTCCTCTCCGCCTCATAATCAGGGTTTGCAAAGGGTCCGGGATGTTGAGGGTGTTGTTCTTGGTCGTAAGGGGTGTTGTTGGCTGAGGAGTTTTCGGCGATTGTGGAGGCAGACCCGTTGGGTGCGTGTATGTCGACCACTCGTTTTTGTGCGGCAGGTGTTGTGAACACAGGAGCCCGAGGATTCTCAAAGACCCGACTCTGCGGTCGTTGTGGCAGCTGCTGGTGCTGATGTATGGGATGCTGCGGATTTGCCCATGGCGTCTGCTCCAAGAAAGCTTCTTCTGCAGCTGTGCGGTAGACGTTCGATGACATGGCCGGCATGGCACCCCGCGGAAGCGTGGACTGAGCCTGCGATGCGGGAACTCGCGGTTCGATGGAGATCTGCGTGTGCCATGTTAGATTGGACGTTCACTGTCGGAAAAGTTTCATGATCTGATTGGACTTACACCCATCTTTTCCAGATCCTCATCAAGCTCCGATGGTCGTGCAGCGGACAGCGCAGGTGCAGCTGGAAAGCCGACGTATTTGGCAACTCCTGCCATGACAGACACCTCTTGATTGTACGCGGTTTGGTGGGCGATCTGCTGTGACCGGCGGGTGGGGAACGGAATGTAATGTTGCGGGCTAATCTCATCCGTCTTGAAGCGATCGTGCTGGATAGAGTAAAACTGCTTGCTGATCGCACTTGAATGCTTTTCGCGAATATCTCGTGTCCGTTGGAAGAAGGTGCTATGCGCTTGTGCACGTTCAGCTAGGCTCTTGTTCAACAAGGCTTTCATCCTGTACTGAAAGAGTGTCTGTTCGTATTTGATTTTCGTGTCGCGATACCGCCCGATGCATTCAAGCTGCCGCAGATACTCAGGATGCGTGGGATTCTTTGCGTCGAGCATCTCTAGCTCTCGATTCAATTTTGAAATCCTCTCGTCATAGATCCTAGCAGCCATGTAATTAGTAATCTGCTTGTATCACACAAAGATGCGTGGGCTCATACTTGTCTCGTAGGGTCGCAAACTCCCGTTCTAATACGGCGAGAGAATCCATCGCAGATATCCTCTTGGCTGCTAGGTATGAAGATCAGAATCAGAGTAATTGGAGCAAGCATCTCTGGGGCAACTTACACTCTTCCTCAAGTTTAGCGGCAGCAGCTTCACCGTCATCCGCATCTTCACCACGTTCCGCGGCATCATCATCGCCAACGTCATCGGCCTCTGCGCCGGTCTCAAGCGCGCCGTTATCGGCTTCATCGTCGGCATCTCTGGTTTTCCGACCCTTCCGCTTACCCTTCTTGGCTCTCTTACCCTTAGCAGGTACCACAGGCAAGGTCGACTCAGGGACGTCGTCGGTTGCGATGTCTTCCTCGACAAGCTTGGGGGGTTCGTCCATTGGCTCGGGGGTGAGTACGAGGTCATCCGGCGGAGGGTCGCTCAAGTCGCTCTTGACTGAGCCACGGCGCTTCTGCGGCGGCAAATCTTCTTCGTCGATTTCCATACCCCCCTCGTCACCGGACTCTAGCCGCTTGCGCTTCTTGCCAGTGCTTTCTGAAAGCGCAGAGTCATCGAGTCCCGGTGTATCATCGGCCACTTCAGCGGTGCGTGTGGTTTTAGCACGAGGCTTACTGGGGGAATCGTCCGCCACGTGCTCTTCGTCATCTTCCACATCATCGTAGGTCGTCGACTGAGCCAGCTTGCTGGGACTGGGCTCATAGCCAGTGGCACTCACGACGATATTTGTTTTTGAACGGAAGTTTGGTGAGTCCTCAATGCGCTCCGTTTCCGCTTCTGAATCATTTTCCGGGGCCACTTTATCGGGCTTCGGAGACTCATAGTCGGATGGAATATTTTCAGATACGTCATCGATCTCACTCAAACTGCTAGATCTATCATCACCCATGAATGAGTCGTCCAGAAGGAGGTTCTGTTCGCCATTGGTGACGGCAGAGTCTGCTCCAGCTGGCGCACCCACCGAAACAGGTTCCCTGCTTTCGGCTACCTCCATGGTTATGCGCGAGTATGAGGTTTATCGGTAGGGAGAGGGGGGAGGTCAGAGAGGAAGAATTGAGGGCGTTGTGTGTGTGGAGATTGTGGTCTGGAGACCTGTGGGGGGTAGGCAAATCCGTGGTTGTCGGTAGGATCAGGGTCGTAAATCTAGTTCAATGGAGAACAAAACGTTAGACAACTTGAGAAAAAACATGATACGGCAAAATAAGGCGATATGAAACTCATTAGCTGGGGAGAAGAGTGGAAGAGGAAAATGTCGAGGATGAGAGGGGAGAAAGAGGGTTGCCAAAGGCGGTGCGGAGGTTCTGATCACACCCCAGACGGAGCGAAAGTGACTTTCGCTCCCGGTTTGGGCTCTGGGAACTGCGCCGACCCAACTGCAACGCTCAGGGCGCTGTCTCGAGGTCCCAGAGCCATGACAACATTGCGAGTATCTGGCACCAACCAAGTATCCATAAGAAAAGCCTCGAAGAACATACCGTTCAGTAATGCGCCAGCAGCGAAACTCGTAAGACGCAGCTGCCGCGACCGAGTCCGGTTCCCTGAACCACCGCGATCGCGGAGAGAGGATAGGAGCAAGCCAGAAGAACTCGGAAGTATTGACCAATATGTAGTATGAAGTGCACTCGCCAGAATCCGCGCACGCAAACTCTTGTCGAGAAGAAGTATTGTACGGAGGAGGGGGTGGTGAAAGTCAACGCTCACGAAGCGGGCAAGACGACAGTGCAGCGTAGCGGGAGGATGGGCGGCATGGAAGAGGAGGGTAGACGGTTGGATGAGGAAATTGTTGAAACCAGCAGAAAGCGAGCGAGTAGTGTGGAGAAAAGAGTCTGGAGATAAAGACCACCAAGTCTGAAGCGCTAGGGAAGCGATGGCAGCTTGGAGGTGAGAGGAAAAGAGGAGGAGAGGCGGCGGCGGAGGGAGAAAGAACCAGAGCAGCAGCAGAGCAGCAAAGCAGCAGCAGCAGCAGCAATGATGGAGATTGATTCACTGACTGGCCGGCCGCTTCCCTTTCGCTGCTCCTCTTCCCGTATACCGCCTGTATCGCGTTCTGCCGGCTGTATTGCTGCCGCGCCCCGTGGAGTCTCACCGCCTTGACGTGCGACCATCTTATCATCCTCGGTGTCTCGCTCAATTGAGGACAACAGGAATTTCAATGGTAATTGTCATATTTTCAGGTTGATTTAGGGTCATTTTATTGGGGTCGACTATCAAAACCTCATTTCCCTGTGGCTGAGACTTCCATTGCCCCTTCATCAGTTGGACCGCTATCAGTCCCCACGTGACTGATCCGGCGCCTATCGCCGAGACCCAGAAAAAAAAAGAGGAAAAAGTAAAAAAAGTAGGAAATATCAGAACAAGAAACGCCAAGCGCAGACAATACGGAAATTCGACAGGTACAGGCCTGTCAGCTTTTCCATCTTACATTTTTCTCTATTCCTCGAAAGGGACTGGATCCCTAGGCTTCTATCATTATGGGAAAGTCAGACAAGTCTCTTCCTCTCTTGGGGGCAAAGGCCTCCATTGATCCTACTCTAGCTGCCCTGTTTGAGACAAGTGTGCGTAACACACACCTTCTGCTTCGCCAGTGTATCTTGAACTAACATGGCCCCATGCGGCATCATTAGGCTGGCCCAGTAAAAGCTCCTACCGTCACAATCGCCGCTCCCGCTCCCCAATCAAGCAAGCGCACTGCCGAAAATGACGAGGATGAAGATGGCGAAGATGTGATCTCCGAATTGGAAGACGAATCTCTGCCCGAGGACGAGGATATGCAGGAAGCCCCAGAAGTATCGAGCGATGAGGGCAGCGAAAAGGCCGAAGTAGCCGCCGAGGCGCCCAGCCGCAAACGCAAGAGGACCACTGCAGAAGATGTCGAAGACTCATACATGCGTCGCATCGCGAAGGAGCAGAAGAAGGAGGATGAAAAGAGACGGGAAGAGAAGGCGAAGCGACAGAAGACGGTAGAGGGTGAGCAGGGAGAGGATGCCGAGAAATCTGAGGAAGAAGATGAGGAGGAGAGTTCTGAAGAGGATGAGGAAAAGACGACCGTCCCGAAGCATGAGAGCCAGACTGGTGATGCCGAGTCGAAGGAATTGGACAAATCCAACCGGACCGTGTTCTTGGGCAATGTCTCGAGTGAGGCGATCAAGTCCAAGTCAGCTAAGAAGACCCTCCTCAAACACCTGGCATCTTTCCTCTCTACGCTTCCGGAGTCTACTGGACCTCACAAGGTGGAATCTATTCGCTTCCGCTCCACAGCATTTTCCAGTGGTGGCGGAGTCCCCAAGCGAGCCTCATTTGCCAAGCAAGAAGTACTGGATGATACGACGCCGTGCACCAACGCATATGCCGTCTACAGCACTGTGCAAGCCGCGCGCAAGGCTCCCGCTGCGCTCAACGGTACCGTGATTTTGGACCGGCATTTGCGTGTTGACAGTGTCGCGCATCCTGCCCCGATCGACCACAAACGCTGTGTTTTCGTTGGTAATCTGGACTTTGTCGACAACGAGGTCAAGCCCGACGATGAGCAGAAGAAGAAAAAGCGAGCCCCCGCAGATGTTGAAGAAGGTCTCTGGCGGACCTTCAACGCTCACACCGGTCGTTCGAACAAGGAGAAGCCCAAGAATGGAAATGTTGAATCAGTCCGTGTGGTCCGCGATAGCCTCACTCGTGTCGGCAAAGGATTTGCCTACGTTCAATTTTATGATCAAAACTGTGTCGAGGAGGCTCTTGTACTCAATGGAAAGCATTACCCGCCTATGCTTCCCCGCAAGCTCCGCGTGTCCCGGGCCAAGAAGGTTCTGAAGAAGCGTTCAGACGGCGGTGGCCAAAAGAAGACGCTTGGTGAGGCAGACAAGACCCTTCAGGGTCGCGCTGGCAGACTCTTTGGTCGGGCCGGTGCAGCCAAGGTGAAGGCGGATGCGCAGAAGTCCATCTCACAGAACTCCTTGGTGTTCGAAGGCCATCGGGCCACCGAAGGTTCGCACATTCGGGTTAAGACGAAGAGCCGTGGCTCCAAGGGCAAGCCGAACAACCGGAGCAGCAAGCGTGCTGCGGCCTACAAAGCGGCTGGTGGGTGGAAGAAGGGGAAGACCGATTAATGGACTGGGATGTGAGCTTGCCGGCGTTTTTTTATCTGTATTCTATTTCACGGGTGTATTTTGCATGTCAAAAAGCCAATTGATACGAGACTTGTTAAGTAGATATCCATCTGTTGCATGCCAATTCATCGGTTGTGAACTGTCTGTATTGTGCCTGTTCTGCTGTACGCGATGTGTAACTTTGGCCCTTTCAGGAACACGCCCATGACGTCACCTATCGATTGCGCCGCCTTTCTCCTGGCGATATCAATCACTGCTATCGCCCTTCACATATGCAGCGCTCTTCTCTTATGAACCGGCATGTAACATATTTCTATGATTGCTAGTTTAGACGAAACATTGACAGACTTTTCGTTCCAAATTTTAACTATCGCGTGTGGTGCCTACTGCATCTCTCCTCCCCCTCTATCATTCTGCCCGGAAGGCGGGGTGAGATCTAACGGTTACACTAAGTTGACCGACATCACTTGAGTCAGACTGGTGCCTGAGCCCAACCATTGAGATGAGCTTGTCTTAAGTGAGCAATTCTCTTCATTTTGTAGCTGTCTTGTGTTGGCCCCGCTGGCTAATCGCGTCAAGGCAACAATAGATTCAATACTGAACTACGACCGTTTCTAAGTTTGTCGTTTCGCATGAGCCAACGTTAGTTTGTATCGGTGCAAACTTAAGGAGGCCCTTTCAAGTAGCTCGCAGGCTACAAACATAATGATGTTGCCTCTAGTTAATCGGCTTGCTCTGAGGCGACGACCAAACCGGCCCCCCAACAACAACGATACAAGCACCCCACCAGACGAGGATAACAAGGACTCTTCCCCGGAAGGTGACACATACTATCCCAGTTGTTTCGATGTTTTGAAGGTTCGGTATCTACTACAGCACATCTGGCAATGGACGAGGAACTCGCAAGAGTTGCTGCCAGCTGAAATTGTAGATATGATTGTGGACGCAGCCGAGTATTGGGCTTCTTCTGAGTCCGTCTTGAAAGGAGAGACTGTTATCAGGAAAGATCAGGATCAGATTATTTTAACGACGGTACCTCTGTGCTATGATGTGCAGGTAAGTTGGAGCTTTTGGCCTACTGTGACATTTTAAATGCGTCTCACTCCAGCCGGAGACTTTTTCATCGGGTTATTGCTGCTGACACCGTGTTCAAACCACTAGACCTTGAATACTCCGGCTCCAAAGCCTCTGCCCCATCGGACCACTCATCCATGCCGCCAGATCATCTTTATTATTGAATCTCACGATCAGGGATGGGGTGGCGGCCCAGGGTCTCGCGGCCAATACGGGGGCTCTTACTCGTGGTTTGATACCGAAGTCATTCACTCAGCACATCAGAAGAGAGCTGCAAATAATCAGCCTCCACCACAGGGTCCATTCCATTTTGGGCCCGATCATCCTAACCTGCTGCCAACGGCTCATAAGCTACAGTCGAATAAGACGGCCGTGCCAGGTTCGCAAAAGCATACTATTGTTTGGCACTACCAGGATGATATCGCTCCGGACTCGAGTGAAGCGGAGGAAATTGAACGAACTCAGGGACGAGGACGAGCCACGCTGGATGGAAGCCAAGTCCGCAGTCTGGAGATTGGAGATGCGATTGCTGTCTGGGGTCGAGCACGGTTTGGAGGGTGGTCGAACCATGTGCAGCGAGTGTCAGTGCGGGTGTTTTGGGCGGTCTAATGCGGGGATCCTAAGTCAGCAGCATCTCTAGAGTGCACATGAGCTAGAAACAAGTATATTTCTGAATAGCAGTGAGCAGATATGTAGTTATGAACGAATTAAACTAGTTATTGCTGGGGATTATTTACTAAGCAGCTGTAACCAACTAACTATACATCCTTATCGGCTATCGATAGACTGGGTATACTATCTGGGTAGTATAGATGGTAGCCTGCCAAATCAGGCCGGAGAGAGCATCACCTCATTCCCCAAGGCGATCACGCAATTGCGCCAAGACCACCCAATCCCGTCATCTGCGCATTTGAATATAAGGTCGCTCTCTTCCTCCATCACCAGCAACGCTGGTTTTGTCTTCCCTCTTTGGACCAAACTGGAAGACACAGTCCCGTCAATTAACCAGACAGAAGCTCAATGTTGCTCCCTATTTGACGGTGACCTTCCCCCCGACTCCTCTACGCCTTGCGGCCCTCCTTCATTCCCAGCCAAGACGACAGAATGTGACGGCCGACGGAAAGCGGCCCAGGATGTTCCAGGAGCGAATCCGGGTGGGGCTGGCCACATTGGATTGCGCAACAACCGGTCAGTCGTGCGAGAAGCGGTGATACACTCAGTGTGACCAGTGAGCAGTGCGGTTATCACCGCCTGACCGGCCGTGGCGGAGGCATCATGCGTTATCTCGCCCGAGAGACTTTGTTTCTGCGCAGTTTTCCTGCGCCGTGACTCGAATTTGGAGCTGATTGACTGGCTGATCGGCTATCTTCCCATCTGCCTATCCTATCTAGGCCATCGGGGTACTCGGCTATCCCATTCTCAGCGGTCATTCATGGTGTTGTGTTCGTGGCTTCCCCTCTCCCGCCAAAACATGGCCTTGATTCTCGTTCGCCTGTTTCGCCGAGAATTACGCCGGCAATACGACCCAGCTCCCCTGGCGTTTTAACTCCCATCCCCATAAATGCCTCTCCCGCTCTTTTGAGATCACGCTTCGATTGTCACAACCACCCTTTTTTCAGCCCTGTGAACTTGTGATATCCCGACTTTCTGCTATTATTTCCTCCACCCCATCTATATGAGCATTTTGAGGATGGCTCAACCCCAGAAATGTGCTGCTGTCGTTGTGGGAGCCGGCCCAGCCGGTCTGGCGGTTGTGGGAAATCTCCTGGAGAAGCAACTTGGAGGGAAGATTGCCTGGGTTGACCCGTTATTCCAAGGTGGCCGGATAAACCAGAGATACCGCGAGGTTCCTAGGTGAGCAAATCCTTGGTTTGGTCGTCAGAACGAGCTTCAGGATGCCAGAAGAGGAACGCTCCTGCTGACTGGATCTGTTGGCTCGATCAGCAATACCAAGGTGTGCTATTTTCAGGCGTACGCTACGGCCGTTCAACCTTTCCGCACTGTGATCGAGAACACCCGTATTCCCAACCCATTCACGACGATGGCCAAACTCGACCAGAATAAAACCTGTCATCTGCATCATGCTATTGATGTGGTTCGTGCTCTTACCGATGGCATCACAAAGATGGATCGGGTTCTGCCATGTCGAGGAGTTGTCACAGCTGCCAACCTGGCCGAGAAAGTCAGTTATAGAGCTCTAGGAGCCATTAAGCATTCCCGCATCGCTAACATGTGACCGTGGACATAGACTGCTACCTGGACCGTTCGCATCCGGTTGCAGGACTCGCAGGATGAAGTTGAGGTGCTGACGCCTCGACTCGTCGTGTGCACAGGGTCATCCCCAACCGAGGTCTCTATCTCTATTCCCGGGCACCACATCGAAAGGCTGGACCTGGATCTCGTACTGAAGCCCAGCGACCTGGTGTCGCATCTTCCCCGAGACAAGCCCTTGACCGTCGCTGTAGTAGGAGCGTCGCATAGCGCCATCCTAGCCCTCCTCAACCTGGTAGACTTGGCCCGCACATCCCATCCCGACCTCCGTATCAAGTGGTTCACGCGGCATTCCCTGCGGTATGCCGAATTCATGGACGGCTGGATCCTCCGGGACAACACCGGACTTAAAGGGTCAGCCGCCGACTTCGCCCGTCAGCAACTGGAGGATGACAAGCTGCCACATTCCGAGGCTGGCCGGTTCATCACCAAGGTCTACTGCGGCGACAACCAGGAACAAGCACAGTATGAGCGGCATCTGCCCTCGTGCTCGTACCTGGTACAGGCCGTCGGCTTCACACGGGACCCGCTGCCAGAGCTGTCAATCAACGGCTCCTCATTGGAGCCCGAGTTCGACCCGGTTTCGGGAGGCTTCCGCGACTCCAACGGCCGCGTTGTCCGGGGTCTGTATGGGGCGGGCATCGCTTTCCCGGAGCGGGTGGTCGATCCGTATGGCAACGTCGAGCATGCGGTCGGGTTCTTCAAGTTTATGAACTTTGTGAAGCGGGTGTGTCCCCAGTGGGTGTCGTAGGGTTGTATCTTTAGCAGACTTGAGTATAGTGAGTGCATTGTCAGTGTCACCGCTGGTCGGGATACGACTTGAACAAATATAATAATCTTGCAAAGAGCTCTGATACCTTCTTCCAACTAGCAATCCATCTCGTAATGCGTATAGCCATAGGCATGATATAGTAACCAAGTGGAAACAGCATCAACAGACCATTGATTCCTGCGACACACACAACAACCATCTCCGAGAACTGTGGCTATGCACCACAATAATACGAGACTAAATCCACTTTGTCTGATGTTAGATTTTAATCACGACACTAGTAGTTCCACCATCCACTACATAAGCATCCTGTATCCATCCAGGATAGTGAGTGACTCACTCACACAGACTACATCAACTCAATTGAACCACCACTTCTCTCTACCCAAACAATCACCACCCACACCTACCAACTCCTCTACATACATACATTCACACCGTACATAACAACCATCAAAATGTTCCCCCCAAAACCAACCTCAACCCTCTACGCCACCACCCTCCCCATCCTCACCAGCATCCTCAAAACCCTCCTCCACCTCCTCCGCACCGCCGAACGCACCCACCCCAACCCATCCTCCCTACTCCTCAACTCCCGCCTCCACCCAACCATGTACCCCCTCACCGACCAAATCCGTCTCGCGACATCCTTCTCCGTCCGTCTCTACGCCCGTCTCACCAACCACCCAGAGGCAGAAACTCTCCCTACAACCCTCCTACCGGAAGGTAACCCGCAATCCTTCGCGGAGTGCTACGAGCGCATCGACAAAGTGCTGGAGCTGTTGAAAGATGCGGATAATGATGCTAGTACGAAGGAGGTGGTGAATGCCAATGCCGAGACGGTCAAGCCTGCGCCCGTGGGACCCGGGGTCAACATGGATGTGACGAATGCAACGTATGCGCATACCATGGTTCTGCCGAATATTTACTTCCATTTGAATATCGCCTATGCGATTGTGAGGATGGAGGGCGTGGAGATTGGGAAGAGGGATTTGTATGTCGGGTTTGGGGAGTTGTGGGGTTGAGATTTGATTCTTAGTATTTTGTATTTATGGTGTATGTATGTATGTATGATAGTAGTTAGGTAGTTGGAAACATATGTGAAACTTCTCTCCTCTACTTCGCTTTGAAGAGTTCGTTTGAGTCATAGGAAGTAACAGTATGCAAGTACAGCTACTGAGTTCACATAATATGTAGGTTTCAACAGACTCAAGGATAATATTCAAACTACCATGGTATCCTTCTAGTGATCCAAAAGAGCAAAGGTATACCCTATCCATTCCCCTCAGTGCAACTCATAGACATCCTTGACCATCTTCTCAACGTCACCTTCTCCAACCAGCGTTGGTTCATCGAATACGTTGCAGAATTGGTTGTCTGCCTGCTGTACCTCAAGCCCATAGTCCTCAATGTATTTGACAAATGATCCCACTTCAGGGTGGTTATGCTGGAGTAGAATCGAGACTTTCCGCATGATGTGCAGGAAGACAGCCAGAGCAGTATTGTACTTGGTCGTTGTCTCAATGGGCGCAAAGTAATCATCCAGGCGTCTGAATTGATCAAGTGATGGGATATGGCTACCCAGCTGGGCCACAGAAACTGAGTAAGGTGATGGAAGCTGTTCTACTAATAAGTCAGTATTGGCTGCAATTGCCCATCTAGGAGTGATAGGGATGACTCACCGAGTGTGGCTCTGAGGGATATAACAGCCTCTTCCGGCCCATCCTCTCTGCGCAACGCTGCGTAATGTTCGGCTATCTGGTAAAGCAACCGCTTCCACACGTAGAGCTCAATCACGTGTGGAGCTATGGTCTCCATCTGACTGGCGATGCAGACAAAAACGACGGACCCCTCAATGGGGTAATGTAGGAAGTTCTCAAGACGACTGGTGGTGTGAGTATGACGGAAAGCTGTTATAAAAAGTCTTTGTAATGTCAGCAATCTATGATTGGCAGTCGTGGTCGATTCTGGGACCGGTAAAAGACCAGCCTTCCAAGGCTCGCCAGGAAGTCGGCTTATTGCTCTGGAGCACCACTCAAGACACTTCATTAGGCTAGAGCTGGTCTCCCTATCTTTAGGTATGTCTTTCATCTTAAAGCAGACGGAAGAGAGAAAGACGTAGAGAATGATGCTCTCATGAAAGCGGCGTTCGTAAATACGGTCAAGTGTTCGAACCCATTGCCGTCGGGCCTCCTTGGTGAGAGAGACCAGCGGCAGTGCAGCATCAACTCGCTGACCATTGGGCAGTTCTCTAACCTGGAGCAGTATCCAAGCGCAAGCATCACACGCTGACAGAGGCAAGATTATATCCGTCTCGGGGTAACTACCCAAGACCATTGGATAGCGGTGTTCGGCACAGCTATTGGCCTGTGGAACATGGTGTGTGCCATTGTAGTCGCGTGGGGTTTGGAGGAGAAGACACTGTATTGCCTGATCAGTCCCACATATGGGGCACTGTTGGTAGTTCTGGGGAACTGCACATCCTGCAGTGACGTTTCTGCTGTCTCTATATCCTGGTATAAACAGGTATTCGCAGTCTATTGGTCCATGAGCTGGAGGCCTGGAAAGATTTGCAAGTGGGCTGATTCTCTGCTTAAACGAAAGCGCGGCTCCAATATGTTGCATATTTCCTGCATCTGGCGAGCTCATTGGAGTTAGATCGCTTGGGGACATTGAAGACTGGCGTCGATTCAATTCGCTTAATGTTCGCGAGACATCCTCAAAGGTCATCTTCAACCGGTAAGAATGGTCATGAGCTGCTCTGACATTCTGTTTGAAATTCTCCCAGTTCCTTTGATGCTGCTTACGGAGTCCGGACTTGATGAACTCTGCAGTTGAGGACTGATTTGAATTAAGAATTGCTTGCCACAGAGACCGTGGTTGTGATCCATCTCCGTCTAAAAAGGTCAGAAGGGTGAGGAGTACACTTTTTGCTTCCCCATCTAAGTCATCACGTGGCTCAAGCAGAATCTTATCCACTGAATTCATTGTCCGACGGGAACTCGAAATCCACATATGAATCTTGTCAATTTGACCCTGTGTCTTCGCAGCCAGGATGACGACATCTAACGCGGCGTAATTTGATAGCAGGTGGAGTGTGTCAGTCTCGGATATCAAGCCAGTATAAATACTATTCATATCAAACTGGACTCCGTTTGGGAGTATGACGATATCCCGGGACATTTTGATGGGTCTAGGGACCTTGACTCTTTTGAGATCGTCGTATCTGATTGTCACCAGATCCGCCCATTTCGTACCCTCCCCAAAGGGCACAAACTGCTTCTCTGCCGGGAGTATATTCGAGAAACTTCCCTTGGCTTGTAGCACGTACAATATGCCAGTTCTCACATCTGAGAAGAGAAAGATGCAATGTGGAGCCACGGCAAACACAGACATTCCAACTGAGATATTGCAGCGAAATGGTGAACTTTCCGGATAACCAAAAAGGACTATCACGCAGGCTGTGCCGTGAATCCCAGCGGCGGAGATAGCATGGGCAAACTTCTGAACTAGAGGCTCGTGGATCTGGCCGTCGGTCAAAAGAAACCATATGCTGGCGTCCTGAAGTCTTAATTTGCAAGCGGGGCTGTTCAACAAAGCCCCTGGATCGGTTTGGCCCCAAGAGCTGAGGTTCTCGATGCTTGCTATGCTCATCGGTTGGAAGGTCGTGTGACACCAAGGAAGAATACTTGACCGTGACACCAAGTCCGGCGGCATAGAATCTCCACAGATTTCCCGAATAGCATCCTGCTCTTTTCGAAGCACAGGTCCCAGTGTGCTTTGCGAGACATCTATCGCGAATGTAAGAGGAAGCTGCCCTAGAGCCAGCTCAGGTTCGTCCTGACTGTTGGGCGCCGATGCAGCAATCGTGGTGTTTCGCGGTCGCAAAGGCAGCTCAACTTGGTCCTGTGGAATGGATGCCGATGCAACCATGGTATTTCGCAGTCTCAGAGCCAACTCAACTTGATCCTGACGATCAGGTGCCGGTGCAGTCATGGTGGACTTGGGTTGGTAAACGGCCTGGAGAATGGGTTGCGTTAGAAAATCAAGTTGGTAGTCGCCAGTCTTTAGTTGAATCCGAATAAGGTATGCTCGCTGACCCGATCGAGGAAGCAGTTGATTTGCCACCTATGCTAGGCTGTGATTCTGTAAATGGAGGTAGACAAGTTTTCACTCGTCGAGTCTCGGCACCAAGTCACTGGGTTTAACGAGTCAGCAAAGCGTGCACTCAGGAGTCATAGAAGACACTCTAGGGTCCTCGGGAACACCTCAGGATGAGTGATATCAAGTGCAGCACCGTTGTTCTGAGTATTCAGGATGATATTTTTGCAGTATATATGACCCTCTGCAATCAACACATCTCCAGTGTCAAACAGAAGAAGATGAACAGGATTTTATCAGCAGGTAGGGTGCGTGAGGCTACAGTAGGACAAACACTTCACCCCCGCTCCATTGGTGAAAAGCGGCTGATACACAGACAGCTATGGTGCCAGAAATAGCATTCAGAGCTGAACAAATATATATAGACTGTGCGTTCCAAAGTGTGGGAACACACGTTGGTTTCTGGACTAGGGCCATTGAACTAGTTCGTTTTCCCGTGGAAGATGTCCAGAATCATGAGAGAGACCATTATCATATAATACATATGTATATATCTGATCGCTCCGAGCTCAGTCAAATTTCTTCCTCAGAGCCTCTACAGTTTCTGACAACTGAAGATATAAGTGGCACACATCTGATCCAGGATTCTAGCATGATTCTTCACCTTGAATATATCCTCTTTCGTTGGTCGAGCTTTCATCGGGAACGAGAGAAGTCAGTTTGGTGATGTTGCAGTTCCACCAGCATAATGACTGGCCCAGAACAAGTACTGTGACTATAATAACTGATGCGTATATTAAGTCCCATATATAAGTTGTAATGTCATCATTGAAACGGATAGTTGGTTGTCAGTTGAGTGACACTCCAGCAACTGGAAGCCCACCCCCACGGGGGTACTTATAAAAAGAGATTTATCAGTAGAATTCACCAATCTATATCATCAGTATTTCACTTACCTTCACCACAATATTCAATACATATTCCACGACAATCATTCCCAGTACTCAACACACAGTAATTTAGCTATTTTTAACCACGCCTAAACCAGAGAACGATCTTGAACGATCTTGTCTATGTTATCAGGCCTAATTTGGGAACCCAAGTTCTTGACCATGACTATGGAAGACCCTTTGCGCAAGACAATTGCTCATACTCATGAGTACATAACCAAGAATCACTTAACAAACCAGCTCAAAATATATCCCAGGGGAACACTCTAGTCGCTCGAATAAGCAGAAATGGTGTGCCAAACAGCCTGACGATGATAGTTGATACTTTGTTAATCTGTTTACGGGAACCTTGCTCCCTGCTGTTATCTCCCTGATCTAATGTATGCTCCTTTAGGATCATGAATGAGGCGTATCCGAATTATTGCATCAATCTTAAAAATGACAATACCGCCAATGGGGCTCACGTTCTATATTGGCCTTATGAAGGTACCTCTAGCGAGAGGTGGTCTTTTGACATGCAATAGAGCATTGACAGACGTCTCCCTTCTTGATCAGATAGCTGGATTATATTTACGGGCGGGAGATGTTGTAGAATGAACGTTAAAGTCTGGAACTTGATGGTGCTTGTATAATTACTACATGATGATCGATCTGGCCCCTTATATGGGGCAGTATGACAACTTGATTACCTGAGCTTCGTGACACCCTTCTCATCTTGAACCAGGATAATCTCTAACAGATCAGAATTACCCATAGAACCCGAATTTAAACAGAAGCGGAGCTGGAGAATTCCTATTCATGTCATTCTTTACTGGCAATCCATGAAATGCCTTCCAATCTAGAGTCTGGCTTGTGGTGACGGTGTCTTGTTCTATCACAGGTGCAGTAACTGTTTCTTCCTATGGGGAGGGAGAATTCAAGTCACGTATGGGCACTACTAATCAAAATTTTCGGTATCACCAAAACTTTACAAGCCAAATTCGACTAAGTCAACAATAATTTCTCCATGGCAAAGTGAGTCCCTCTATGGCAACCTGGTA